GCAAGATACTGATCACGAATCACTTTGATAGCTTAAACTGATTTGAGGTTGCATCAAATATGAGTACATGTATATATTTTGAAATGCTTATTGAAAACAGGAAAATTTCTATTAGACCTTATATAGTCCTATAAAAAACTTGGAAGTGGTGACAACTTATAGCCGAATATACGTATAATTAATTTAACAGCGCAGCAATACAGTATCTCTTTTCAGCGCCATCACTGTTCTCTGCCACAACACTTAGCTCTGATTGTTGAATTCTAAGGTGATTATTATCACCACCATCTTCAATCTGCTCCGCATTCAAATTATCATCTATAGACAAGTTGTGTAAAACGCAGGGCGTTCATATAACATTCACTCTCGACATGTGATGCTTCTTAATGTGGTAGAGTTGCCTACATTTTTTGCTTCAAACGGCTATTGTAGTTTTCTACTAGAATGCGATTTTAAGAATGTTCTTTGTGTTATAATCTAGTTGTCTGGGTGATAACTGGCCACGGTTTTGGAATGGAACAAGGGGTATGTATGTGATCGGCATCACACTTCTGCTGCAATGTTTGAAAAAGGTGGCGTCCTAAATACCCTAGCATCACGTACAGAGCCCCATAACCAGTGAAGATACTGAAAATTTTCAAATCTTGGTCGCATATTAAGTTGTGTCCGAAATGAAAATAATTATAATTACAAGTAGTTATATCATTGGATATATAATCGTATTTTATAGATGTCTGAAAGTATGGAAGAAATGATTATATACCATCGATGCTAAATACCACAGCTATTTTGAGCTAATTCTAGGTAAACTGTAAACATTCAGAAATTGTAACTTTACTGGGTGCATAGGTACATACCCATTATTACACTAACCTGTATAGAGTAGCATCATTTCTATTAATACGTGATAAGGGACCATCCTCTCATCCCTTTTTCAATCTATATATGGGTTCCGTCAATGATGGTAAAGATTCCAGAAAGTCCATTTTTTATTGTAGAAATACTGTTATATCTTTCTTCTTCTGTTGGCCATTTTATGATTTCTGGTACCAGACTACTCAAAAAGTTTGTCTTTCCGGATATAACTCCATGAAGGGTATTCACGGAAATGTTGAGCCTACCAGCTACTTCTCTGAAGGTGACTGTTTGATATCCAGCAAACCATAAAAATATGCAAGTTCCTTCATACAGAGTTAGCTTTCCATATGGGACGGCCCGATATTTAAAATGGTTACTTCCACAGAATTTCACATAATTCATTTTTTTGAGTTTCATTCTCTCTTCCAATAGGACTTCAAAGTCTGCATCTTTTGCAAAAAGCTCGAACATTTCCGAGCATTCGCTGCTTGGTGCTTGGTTCGACACATTTCGAATAGGACGCCGAAGTCAGGCGGGTCTTCTGGCAGGCACGTCGCACATCATAGAGGAGACCTCTGAGAAGCAAAGCCTTTACCTTAGCGGTAGAAGACAGCTAGATTGCCGATGGCCTACCGGTGCGAAAATGTCCCCAGACTGCCCATTAAAGAGGACTCATTGGCCAGTAAATGCCTTTTGCGAAGCAAAATTGGTTCCCAAGATGGTTTCGACACACTCTGATCCCTGTCACTGTCGGAGGGTTCTGTACGAACAGCGGACTAGCTGTCGGCAAACAGTCAGAAACTGTACGAACAGGTAACATCTCTCTGATTCTGACTTTGTCAGTCACCGACAAGTTGTCGACCACTGTACCAACAAACCAATTATCAACGCCATATGAAATAAGTAAACAGATCGAGTCTCCGTACCATGAGCGGATCTTAATTTTTCTAACTGAGGGAAACCAATTCAAAATTACTTACTAATCGTAATTCTCAAAAATCTCCTAATCTAGTACATACACCTGGGTAAGGTATGACATGCCATTTGATGCTTTCTGAAGTTGAATTAAAAAATACATGCGGAGTTTACAATATAATACAAGATAACAGATCTATTTGCTAACTTGATGGCAAATTTAACATTGGAGGTGGATATGTGACAAGCTTATGAGAGCTTTAGAACAGCCATCTTTAATAATAAAAATGCTCAATTCTTCCTGGAGTAAAATACATTTTGAAGATGATGCTCTTAAGCTATAGCCTTTGGATCTATGTCGGCTCAATAAACATCAACCTTGTAATTTCCATATCTATTAAAATATTTAATAATCTGCATTAAGGTGCATACAGAGAATTAAGAATTATAAATTTTCAAAACTTGTTTCAATAAAAGTTTGAACTATTGGATTTCTTCATCCATCAGAGCCATCTGACCTTTCTCCCAAGTGAAAGATTATATTAGTTTCCTCCTTATGATTTTTTCCACTTGATGCTTGTCCTAGTCGTTTTTAATCAAGTCTTCGGTATGTTTCACACACTTGGCCCAAAGTGTAGGAGTCACCTTAGCTAGAGTATCGTCCCAAACTTTCAAAGCTTTCTTGTCGCCATAGCCATTTTCCCCATTATGTCGATCATAGTACTTGGATATTCACCAGACTAATTTAATAGGGTTGTATTGACAATGGTAAGGGGGGAGCCGCAAAACTTAATGTCCATGTGCTTGTAATATTTCGTCTATGATATATCTTGGAGCCGATGGCCTATTACGGCGACATAGATTTAAAAACTCGAGTCTAAAAGAATTATCATCAAAATGTATCTTTTTGTCTCGCAGCCATTGCTTCAATTGCATTTTACTCCAACTGAAATTGGGCATTTTTTCTGTTAATGAACTATGATAAGTGGCATTATCCATGATTAGTAAAGATGGTTCTTGTAATAATATCAGCTTCTCACATACACATTTTTTGAAAGAATTTTTGTCCATGGAATCGTGGTAGTCAGCACTCTTTTATTTTGTAGCAGATAACCATGCAGTATCTCTCAAAAAACCGTTTTTGGTTCCAGCATGGAAAACGACATACCGCTTGCCGGTACCCTGATGGACTCTTTTAAAACTGTTTACGTTTTTGTCTTGCCAAACTCGTTTAAGCGACCCTTTGACAAATATCCACGATTCGTCTAAGAAAACGCTTCGGAGAAGGCTTGTACAATTCAGGTCATTGATATAATGTCTCATAAAATAGATACATCCAGAAAGAATGTTTATGTACCTTTTTTTTAAAGCTGCTGATTGAGCGCAGGGGTCGGAATACGTTGTCCTGTACGTCTCATATCGTAGAATAGTAAATAAAGTTTTCCTAATTTCTGTTTTGTTCACATCACCTAAATGATCGGTCTTGCATTTTTGATTTTGTGAGTCTCCCCAGGTGTTACTATGGGCAAACCTCTTTTATTTCCCGATTTCATTTGCTGAACACTGTCAGACTAATCTTCAGCGCATCTGCTACTCTCTCAAGTACGCATAAAGTGGGTAATAAGGGACCGCTGTTTTCATTTTCTTCCTAGAAATACTCTAATAAATTTAGCATCAGCTATCGGCCTACCCCATTGATCATATTTCCGGGCATTGTTAAATTTTATACTGAAGATTGATAACAGGACAACTCAAATTGCACGCCGATGATAAGTTGTCACTCTGACAAGTATGATTGAAGGGCACTCATGCGTAACGACAAAGTTTCCGTGACGCAGACACAACTAAAAAACGTATGTCTTTGAGCCGAACATACGTGCATACACAGGGGTAGGTTGCATGTGTATGTATGAGCGAGATGGAGATATATACAGGGATACTGGTAGTCTTACTTTGACCCGCCAAAAACGGTGACTACAACATTATACTGTTATCCAGCATGAAAGTGCTGCACCGACAGACCGCCTTACGTTGTTCGAACACCATATACTGAATACGGAGCATGTTTCACTTAACCCGTCACTTGTCACTCAAAAGAAGTCGTAAATATTTTATATTCCTCTTTTGAATCCATCTTATCTGTTCCGGAACAAATGCCTTGTACATTTTCGCGTATCCGAGCTTTTAATAAAAACTCTGGTAATTAATGATTCTGTCTTAATTTCAGCTCGGCTATGCGGAACAGCTAAAAAATGCCGAAAGCTTAACGGCTGCTTATTCGTTACGAAACTACGAAACGCTGGAGAAAAAGCTTGGCTCGACGGTGCCACAATGGCGCACTGTTGGTCGCTTTCTTTCTTTTTAAGCCCTTTTAATGGTGTTATGCAAAGTTTTATGTTCGCAAGACGGAATTAATGAATACTGTTGGTTTTACTGGACATTCTGGTGTTTCAATTTTCGAAAGTTTCAGAGATCCATATACCCCGAGTGGAGTTATGGAAATACAGTGCTGCCGTATAAAGTGTTTGTCAAGGCGGTCTCCGCAAAGCGTCAGTCGAGCTAATTTCGAACATAAAATTCTGTTTCCGCAAGATAGCGGCAGACAGGTGTGTCCCATGTCTAGCTCTGGACCGTACTGATGATAGATAAAAGAACATGAAATAGCGTTGTATGTGGTTGGTTATGGTCACAGATAGAAAGCAAATGTGTCCATTCAACAAATAGCTCATAATCCAAGCTGAGGGAAATCAAAAATTTTAAAAAATAAGAATTTCTATCAAGACTCTGGGGTGTTACAATCTGGACAATTGGATATGAATTGTATATAGTATACTTAAATCTAAAACCGTTTATTCAAACCACCTGTACGTCATTCTTCCATTTATTTTCCTATTGTCGTTACTTTATTAACTTACCAGTATTTCTGTTCCAAGCTACCAGCAATCGCGGCCACCTTTGATCCTTTTTGCCGAGCCAGTAGTATCAATATTGTACTATACTGATTAGTTATTCAATAAACCAGCTCCAGCGATGCTTATCTTTGATCTTGCACTGATCTGGTGAGTGATATAGATAACACACAACTTAACATCCATGGCTCAGACTTCGTACATATGAATGGGGTCTATGTTAATATATAGAAATTATATCTCATGTCTCGACTCGTATATACAGATACGTAGTATCCCAGCATGTTTACGTTTTCTTTGTTTCTTTTTTCACGAATAATTCAGTCTGTGCGTGTATAATAATGCCAAAAATGCCCAAAAGAAGACGTTGTGGTAGTGATGTGGATAAGAAGCTGCTTAATCTAAAACATAAGATCAGAAAATTGGAAGAACAACGTCGTCATTGTTCACGGCGTTCCTTCTCGCCCTCTAGTAGTGGTAGTAATTCGCCTTCATCACAATTTTCTCGGTCACCTCGGTCATCGAGAAGAGTATCGCCTCATCATGGTGGCTTATTAGGGGTTTGCAAAAACCCAGGTGAAAACTATCGATGTCATATACGAGTCTTATCTTCGTCGGATGAGGAGTCTGATACTGGTAAGTTTTTTTTACTATGATTCTAGTCAGATTGATTTTCATTGACGTTACAATGGATCTAGGGCATGTAGACATATGCCCCCCATTTTTTTTTGCTTATAATATTCTACCTTCTTAATCCTGCTATTTATTGGCAGAGAGGAACTATACATACCGTATGTATTTACCTTCAATTATTCTCAACTATTTAGTTAAAACTGTTTCCTATCAGGAAGGTAGAGGACTGTAAGAGTCTATGTTATCTATATCGTAAGATACGATATTTTCACCCACCTACAAAACATTTCCTACTAAGTAATTTGGTAGAGGATGAGAATAAATTCATCTTAGAATTCCATAGCTGGGTTTAAAATTTACAAGTATATATCCCTCTCTGTTTTCATGTTTTTAAGATATTAATATGTCCTCTTCTTTTTAGAAGATACACAGAGGGGAGGCGACAATGAGGATCAGGAGAGCCAGGATCCACTTGATGAAAATATTTTGCAGTTGCTTGGTCCCAATGTTGCGCACAAGGAACTTGAGGGGTCAAATATTCAAAAAGACCTAGCTCTTAGATGGGAGGCTATTTTAAAACAGGGTCTCAGTATGGAAGATAAAAATACAATTATTAATGGCTATCTTATCCCTAAAAACTGCCAAGCCTTCTACCCACTTAAGCTTAATAAAATAGTGTCTGATGCCATAACACATTCTGTAATCAGAAGAGATATCAAAATGTCTCTAAATCAGACTCAGATTGGGGCCGCGGCTTCTGCAGTGGGATTGGCTGTTACTACTCTTTTAAAGGAGAAAACAGAAGAGCACAGTAGCATTATAAAACAGCCAAGTGATGCTGGCCGACTAATGGCCGATTTCTTTAATAGCCAGTCACAATGTAGAAGGGAGCTCCTACTATATAATTTAAATAAAGACTTAAAAGATACCTTGGAAAAATCTGAGCTTTCCTCTTGGTTATTTGGAGATAACCTTGAAGAAGAGATTAAGACGTCCAAGACTCTTCAGAGGACCAGTGAGGAGTTAAGACAATCCAGCTTCAAGACAAAGAAAGTTTTTAGGCCTTTAAACTTAAAGAGTCTGTCCCGACCAAACAACGGCCTTACTCGGGGCAGACAGAACCACTACAATCCGTCGCAGAGCTCAATGGGCGACAACCCACGACATCATCAGCCACAATCATACCGCAATCAATACAACAGACATTTTCACAACAATCGTCAAAAAGAAAAGAGACGCCGAGTACCGACAAACAACAGAAATCTCTAGAGGTTAGTAAGTTAGCTGGCAGATTAACCAATTTTTTTCCAGAATGGCAAAAAATAACTTCGGATAAAATGACTTTATCTTATGTATCAGGATTATCGATTCCCTTTTCAAAAAGACCTTTTCAAAAATCCGCACCTCATGAACCTAATTGGTCCCGCGGTGAAAAGGTGGAAATTGAAAGATCTATTAGTGAACTGATACAAATTGGCACTATCTCTAAAGTTGTTACATCTAAAAATGAATTCATTTCTAATATTTTTTTTGACACCAAAAAAGGATGGATCGAAAAGATTAATAATAAATTTAAAGGCTTTAAATGTTTTTGTAACTAATACAAATTTTAAATTAGAAGATCATAAGACAGTTGCGCGACTCATAAAGCTCAAATGCTGCCGCGGCATCACGGATTTATCCGGATCGGTTTCCCAATCGAGTGCAACCAACCCCTCGTGCCTTTGTTAATGTAGTACAAAGGGATCGTGAATCAGGTGACTTAAGACCTCACAGGGGACTGTATGCCGGTGCTCCAAGACCTCACGATCAAATACAGGTCCGCACTGAAATACTTGTCGGGAGGATACTTTATAAAACAAGGTAAAACATTTTTTTTTATTTTTTTTTATTTTTACACACATATTTTGGTTTATCTTCCTTCTACAATCATTATCTGAGAATTAATGACTCAACTTCAAAGTCACCCTGTATATTTGTTAATTCCGTATTTACACAACAATTTTTGAGGGCTTTAAAAGGAATGATTTGTAGTGCCAGGGCATAGGCGGGTGCCGGGAACGTTGTTGATTTTTGCCTTTGCAGTGTGTAGCCTGCACTCTCGCTGGGATACTACATATCTGTATTTACTTCGTCGAGACATGGGTATAATCAGGATCGAACATCACTGAGGTAAGTTCGTTTGATCTTCCAAATATAATACCTTTGTCACAGCGATCGAAAATGCATACAAAGCTGATTGTGACACACAGAGATGATATGATATAAAAAATAATATCAAGTTGCCTTTGGAAATAAATAAGTTCATTTACTTACTTGACTGTCAGTTGGCATTCATTTATTTTGGTGTTTTCGCGTCAAGATTTGTACAAATTAGAAATAAGAAACAGTAAAGTTTGTTAGGCAGCTCCCAAAGCTGAAATCTGTCGAATATTCCAGAGTGGAAACATTTCACGCAGAACCATATATCGAACAATAGCGGACTTCGAGTAGGGAATACGTTGCCCGAATTTCCCAAAAAGTGGATGAACACGGGAATTTACTGCACAGGGGTCAGAGGGATTGGTGAGAAGGGCAAATCAGGTTTGAATGTCAACAAGGAGACTGTGTCATCAATGTAGATCTTCTAAGAGTACGATATCGTTGGAATTGAGAAAGAATGGCCTTAAATAACGAAAGAGACTAATGTGCCCCAAATACTCTCAAGCGCAACTGCTTCTAATACTGAGATGCTGTCGCCAACAGAGGCGGGTACACTTTGCCACTGGAAAAATCATTATTATAGACGACGAAAAGTACGTATTTTACTTTGAGTAATTCTGAAATGACAATGTTAGATACCAACATAAAGCGGAATCTGCAGATAAAATCCTGGTCTGGTGTGCATTTTTTAATAGTGGTGGGAATAGTGAGGGGTGAAACTTTGAAAAGTCAGAAATATATTGAATACTGCCTTTCGAAATTGCTTCAGTTTGGCCATCAACATCATGCTAATGACCATATCATGTATTCGCCAGACCTATCATCATGCCATCTCTCAAGAGATACCCAAAACTGGCTTAGACAATACTAAAAACGATAATCCTACAAACTCGCCGCAGGCTCTCCCAATAATGGATTTTTGGGTTTTACTGTCTAGGAAGTTACATCATGGAGGCTGAGAAGCCCAAGATGAAGAACAATATTTAAGACGGAGAATTTACAAAAAACTGACAGAAATTGATCTGAATTCCATCCAGGACCTCATGAGATACATTCGAAGAAAGTTGCGTCTGGTAGAGCAGAATGGGCCACTCCTCATAATTCGATAGTATAGTTTAGTTAAGTATTGAGTTGTAATGTATGATAACTAGTTAGTGTTTAAATAAATTTCTTCATTAAAAAAATACCATAAATATTTTGTGCTAAAACTTTTAGAACATACGTTAAGACAAAATTTGCGGGTTAAAGTGTCTCTAGGATAAAAGAAAATTGTAACATTGTTCAGCTACTTAATTGTATCTAAATCTATAACAATATCAAGTTAAACAGAAACTTTAATCAGCTCTTCTGGCAAAGTTTTTATAAAAATATTAGTATTAAATTCTGTAGAGTTGTCCTAGCAACTTGGCCTTAACAGAAATATGGGCCAATAGACGGCAATCAATAGTTGTTGCTTCCTCCGTGATACTGCTATCTTCTAGCATACGAGTCGGTATGGACGAACCCTGTATTTTTGAGAACTAGCCAGCACGATTAATAATGTGGAACAGGCTTCCCCATTTGTACTAAGCCTTCATGTTTATTCTTCTTCTTTTTCTACTTTGCTATGTTTTGTAGAACTAGTACTACCGTAACTACGCTTTGCTCAAGCTGCTACGGAATGGAAATACTTTATTATGTGCCGTCCTCGTCGAAGTAAATATTTAGAATACATATCGTAGTAACCTCGTAGTAGTACCCAACTGCCACGATTTCAAAGCGCGCACGCAGAGAAGGAAAGTGTCACAGCGCCCCTTCCCCCTACCTTTCTCCCCTCTGACCAGCAATAAACCTTCATTCCTTGTTCTCGTGCCCGACCGCCAAGACGTTAATCGGCACGCCTCGTTTACGTGCTACGTGAGTGCAGTGTCAGGCATTCGGTGAACATTTAGAATTAGAAATCAGGACAGAAGGTAGATGTGCATTATCGAACGAGAAACCGACCGACGGTCGCCTGAAGGTTCCTTTTGACGCCGGCCACATTTTGCTTGGGATAGCAAATTCCATCTGGTTTGTGATAACTATGGAACAATATTGTAAGAATGCATATGAGAAGTTAGGGAGAAGCCAAGGTACCATTTTCATTAATGAACGACAGAGATTAGCTACATATATGTGAGACTAGCGTTACACTTAGCTTGTGGTAGCAAATTTCACGTGGTTTGTGATAACTATGGACGTATGAACGTATGAACATCTCCGGTTAGGAAACCACCAAAGTTCTAATGTTGAGTAATAACGGAAGTTAAATATCATTACGACCGATTAACGTTACATTTTGGCACTCGAACAGTAGGGCGCCTTAGTATAATTAATACTCGCGCGTTGTTGCAAGGCTGACAGATTTTGTGGATGACGATAGATGACTAAATTCTGATCGATTCTAGCCACCTAAGGTGAACCCTGAGGTAACGGAAGCCATATTAGAAATTGTCGCACGCAGGGATGCGTGTTTGGTCTGTGTACAGCAACATCTGAGCTGTTCATCAACTGCAAGTGGCAGTACTCTATCCTCTAGGTTCAAAGAAGGGAGAGGAGTGCATGCTGGCAGATATTCACATTAAAGCAAAGAACTCAGGAGTACTCTGACAGGGGCTTCCAGTGATATCTTGATCTTCGGTATAGGTCTGACCAAGAAAGTCAATTCTAAATAGAAATCAGATAAACAGAGCAACAACTGAAGGCCAAAAGGCCAGACAACGTATTGACAACATCAACCCGCTATTGTAGATGAGGTGTGTAGATCAGCATGGACATTAACGCGTCATCAATGGCAGAGCTTTAGGAGTGGCGCTAAAGTCCTGAGTTGGACTCAAGTGGTCACTTGCCATTATATATATCACCCTATGTATCACCCAATTGTTGCAACAACTTGACTTTGAAGTGAATGAAGGTTTATAGGCGGCCAGAGGGGAGAAAGGTAGTGGGAAGGGGCGCGGTGCCGCTTTCCTTCTCTGCGTGCGCGCCTTGAAATCGTGACGGTTGGGTACTGCTACGAGGTTACTACGATACGAATTCTAAACATTTACTTCGACGAGGACTTCACATAATTAATGTCAAACATCACTTACAGGGAAGTTCGTTAGATCGTGTGATTATACCTAAAAATGGCATCAAGTAGGTTGACTCTGTTGTTTCCACGCAGTTACAAGGTTATTTTCGACATATTTTAGCCCCTCTTAGAAAGAAATTACATTTCATATATATAACATATAGATTCAATGGCTCAAGTCCGTCAAATAGGCTCACAAAATTACTCTCCAGTCCCCTGGCAAGATTTTGAAGATTTAACAAGAGAAAATTTCAAAAACGATTGCTAATGCTAATTATGGATTTTTTGGTATGATGTTCCCCAATTTTGTGAATGCAAGTGGTGTTTATCCATGTTTTTACTCAAACTAACGATATCGAAGCGTTTTTCCTGATTCATGGATCTTATTGTTCGTAATCAGAATCCACCGTCCTCCAATGTCGTCTGTATAAAACAATTATTCCGAATTGATGAGAAAAACCGTTTATAATTGGAAAACTTCAAATATCGACGTTCTCATCTTGTTTTAATTAATATCTTTCGTCGCGAAGGCAAAGCAGAAATTGACAAAAAGAAAACCTTTTTAATAAGCAATCAGACAAGAGTCGCTTGACTCCCGGAATTCCTTCTGGCTGTTCCCTTCCTTTCTGCATGGGCGGACTACGATTGGATACACAGGGATGATAAGACAAACCATTAATGAGTAACTAAAGCATTGCAAATTCCTAACCCGAAATATTAGATCCTTTAAAGAACTTGGAAGGAGCTTATCCATACAGACTTTGAAGTGGCAAATATTAATTCTGGAAAAGGGATCATTGCGGTAGATAAGAAAAAGTGAGTATAGTTCTATTTCTTTCTGAGGCTTTTTCAGGTAGCTTTTGACGTTTATCAAATGAGCATGCGAATATTTTCATTACTTAGACAAATAGCATGTTCCAAATAGATCATCGGCAAGAGAACGTTTTGTGAAAGTGTACCTGTCCTCAGAACGTTTTGAAGAGCAGATGTAGCAAATTTTTCCAATGGAGACCAAATCCTAAAAATCTTAAAAATTGTACAGAAAACCTTGATATCAAAGTTTTAAGGT